CCAGAGATGGGAAGGCATGTTCCAGCAGTGTATCTCTGTATTCAGGGTCAAAGGTCAGGATCAACTAAATACAGGAAAAGCCTGGGAAAATGTGGCCATTACATTATCTAAGGGAGAGAAGAGCATCATTGAAATCCATAAAAAGTAACTGTTTATGTCATATTATTGAGTTGCTAAAATTTGTGCATGGACAGTATATTTATATTGGGTTAAATGCAATGCCTTAAATTGTGTTCATATTTGTAAAAGAAAAGAGTTATTCTTTTGTTTTTGGAAGTTATATTTATAACTAGATTTAAACAGATCTTTTTGAACAATTTCAACTACAGTCAATTCTCGAATTATCGCCATTCGATTCATCGCCATTTTCGCAATACCGCCATGATTTCCCAAGAACGATTTTCCTGCTATATAAAATTCTCTTTATAACGCCAAATTCGCATACCGCCATCCGCCACCCTGTTTTCACAACAAACGTCCATTTTTAAGTGTCGATTATCTCGATAATACCGCCACAGGTGTATGTGGTCAGTGAAGCGCGTCTAATTGGTTGACGCTATCCCTGTTGTAAAGCGTGCAAAGCCAATCAAGGTACATGCAATTAAGTAAACAATGATTTTAACATGAACTGTTAGAATAATTTTGTTTTCTGTTTAATAAAATTATTTAGTCAAGGCTTCGCCACGAAAGCGGTCGTTGTAAAGTATGCCGATAACGATATTATTTTGATGATCTCTGCTTTTAAAAACAATGCAAGGTTTGATTAAAAAATAATTATAAGTCAGAAATTGTGAACGTTTCATTAACAATGATTTCATAAACAATGAATTTATTCAAGAACTTATTTTACGTACTTTAGGCAATATATCATGACGATCGACCCATCATTTTTTTTTTTCAGTATCAGACGTGCAGATTTACATACATAACTGTACATATATACTTGTCTTAATTTCATAACTGAATACTTTGTTTTAGCGAAATTGTACATAAAAAAATTACTTGAAGTATTTTCAAATTTAGAAATATGTTTATATATACATGTACATGTGATAATAAGAATAGAAACGCTAAATGGTATTTCTAAGAACGATAACTCTACTTCTTTTCTCCTACAAGATGGAAAATTCAATTCATCGCCAAATTCGTTATACCGCCATGATTTCTAAATTACAAAAGGTGGCGGTTTATCGAGAATTAACTGTATTTATAAAATTGTTTTGTTTGTTATTTTTATAGTCCAAACAATAAAATTAAGAGGATCCTAAACTTGGCTGAGGAGTTGGAAACCATTCCTCCACACAATAAAGGGAGGTTAACGGTGGAGTATTACAGAGAGATTAGGCAGTACCTACACAAAGTAAGCCAAGAGAATCGATGGAGGAATAACAAAAACATTAACCCAAAATTTCCTTTAATTCATACTTCAGAGAATTTTCAGAATTGTCTTTTAAAAAATGATTGCAAGAAAGCAAGGCATATGAAAAATTTACTTGTAAATATTCTTGTATTTTTTATACCCCCCGCAAATGAAGTTTTGGGGGGTATATAGGAATCACCTTGTCCGTCTGTCTGTCTAGCTGTCCGTCTGTCTGTGCAATCGTGTCCGGTCCATATCTTTCTTACAGAGGGACTTTAGAATCTACTACTCCACAAAAAGATTGCCCATGACCTAAGGGTGTGTCATGACCTTGACCCAAGGTCATTTGGTGAAGTTGAAGGTCACTGGAAGAAAAATTTCATAATTTGTGTCCGGTCCATATCTTTCTTATGAATAAACTTGGTAGGTTGTTATTTCACTCAAAGATTGCCCATGACCCAAGGGTGTGTCATGACCTTGACCCAAGGTCATTTGGGGAAGTTCAAGGTCACTGGAAGAAAAATTTCATAATTCAGGTCCGGTCCATATCTTTCTGATGGATAAACTTGGTAGGTTCTCATTTCACACAAAGATAGCCCATGACCCGAGGGTTTGTCAAGACCTTGACCCAAGGTCATTTGGGAAAGTTCAGGGTCACTGGAAGAAAAATTTCATAATTTATGTCCAGTCCATATCTTTCCTATGGATAAACTTGGTAGGTTTTCATTTCACACAAAGATTGCCCATGACACAAGGGTGTGTCATGACCTTGACCCAAGGTCATTGGGGAAGTTCAAGGTCACTGGAAGAAAAATTTCATAATTCATGTCCGGTCCATATCTTTCTTATGGAAAAAATTACTTCTGAAAAACCCAGCGGGGGGTATTTTGTCCCGTTTGGACAGTTTTGTGTACTGTATGCTTTGATTCACTAGGCATTTGACCTACCTTTTCACCCTCTGGGTAAACTTATGGAGGGGCTGGTGGATGTCTTTAGGGCCGCATATATTGGGGTGGGGGCACATCCCAGGCTGCTGGACCATGCTGTGAATGAGATCACTTCATTTGTTTCTCGTCTATATAAGTGTGTCAGGTAATAATTTTACAGTCTTTATAGTCCTGTTTTTAGTAAAAACTAAGTAGACTAATTCATTATGTATATCTGATATTCTAAAATCCTCTTAATAATGTGAAACAATTATGTTTCATAAAATCTCTAAGATCTAGTTAAATTCTAAAATTTTGATTTAACTAAAGGATCCTGTTTCCTGACCTGCCTGAAAACGGAGGACCTATTCTTATCGAGCCTGAGACATCAGAGGAAAGGACAGAAAGGGAGATGACTCCTGAGGAAGACAAGTCGTAAGTTTAATTCCTTGAAACTGATACTGATATGTGTTATTTGTAACTTTGCATATACATGTATTTAAACAGAGTGAAAAAAATCAACCTTATGGATTTTTTTTTTTTCTTTAAGCAAAGAAAGTTGTGTCAATATATTATACATGTATCTGGATTCAAGTAACAATGCAGAAGACAATAAATACATGTTGGTTGAAAAAAGTAAACTTTTTTTTCAAAACCAATTTTACAGATAACTGATTAAGACCTTGTGATTGTAGAATGGTTGTAAGCTGTGGCACTCTTATTCATCCAATCCTCCTGCCCAAGATTTATCCTCCCTTGTTTGATCTGTATGCACTGTACAATGATAAGGAGAACGAGAAGTATTGGGAGAGAGTACGGAAGTTAAACAAACAGGGCGATGTGGGATTGATGGCATTCCTAGGGATTGACCAGTAAGTATGAATAATAGGCACAGTTAGACAATCTGGGATTGATGGCATTCCTAGGGATTGACAACTAAGTGGGAATAATAGGCACAGTTAGACAATGTGGGATTAATGGCATTCCTAGGGATTGACAACTAAATGGGAATAATGGGCACAGTTAGACAATGTGGGATTGATGGCATTCCTAGGGATTGAAAACTAAGTGGGAATAATGGGCAGAGTTAGACAATGTGGGATTGATGGCATTCCTAGGGATTGACAACTAAGTGGGAATAATGGGCACAGTTAGACAATGTGGGATTGATGGCATTCCTAGGGATTGACAACTAAGTGGGAATAATGGGCACAGTTAGACAATGTGGGATTAATGGCATTCCTAGGGATTGACAACTGTTATGGGTCAGAATAACCCTAAATGCCAGCATAGATCAATAACACAATTTAAACTTAACAATAATTTATTTACAATAATATATAATAAGTATATGAAACATAAAGTACAAACTTAGCAAGAATCTAAAAATACATACATCAGAGTGTCCGTTGCTGCACACAAGGTCCCAGTGAAAATATATCCCAGTTATATCTCAACGGTGCTCATACGACAAAAGTATATCTATGCATCGAATTGACAGGGTATTTATACAGTAATATAAATCTAGAATATTCTAGAAATTGTTAAAACATGATATTACTGGAACAATCTGGACATACACAAAATTTAAGAATGTTCTAGATAAAATGACCAAACATGTTGACCACTCTGGAATGTTCAAGAAACTTAATGTTACTAATTATATACATAATGAAACAATACACATCTCACAACACCTCCCCCCTTAAAAAGTTTGAATGTCAATGAAAAACTTAAATTGTAAAACATGTACATTAATACAAAATCTAGTATGTTTACGATACTCTTGACAAGGCATCTGCAATAACATTGTCTTTGCCTTTGATATGCTTAATTGTTATGTTGTATTCTTGTAACAACAAACTCCATCTAGTCAGTCTTTGATTCTTGTTTGACAATTTATGCAAAAATGTCAGGGGGTTGTGATCAGTATACACAAGAATTGGATGCAAAGTAACATTCAAATAAACATCAAAATGCTGTAAAGCTAACAACAAAGCAAGGCATTCTTTTTCAATAGTAGAATAATTTCTTTGACATTTTGTAAGTTTCTTTGAAAAATAAGAAACAACTCTATCTACATTATCACTATGTTCTTGAAACAAAGCTGCCCCGATTCCAACATCACTAGCATCAACAGTAAGCTTAAATTGCTTAGAAAAATCTGGAGTTGACAGAACTGGGTTGCTCATAAGGACAGATTTGATTTTATGAAAGGATTTTTCACAGTCCTTTGTCCATTCAAAGTTAACCCTCTTCTGCAAAAGATTTGTAAGTGGACTAACAACTGAGGAAAAATTTGGACAAAATTTTCTGTAAAACCCAGCCATGCCCAAAAACCTCATTAATTCTTTCTTGTTTGTGGGAATCGGGAACTTTGAAATAGCTTCCACTTTAGCCATTATGGGTGTAACATTACCTTGACCTACTTTATGAGCTAAATACTCTACATAAGCATGACAAAATTCGCTCTTCTGAAGATTCACAGTTAAGTTTGCTTTAGCTAAAATGTCAAATAAAGCACGCATGATTCGGAGATGTTCGTCCCATGTGTTGCTGTATATGACGACATCATCAATGTAGGCCTCGCATCCCTCAAGGTCTTGAAGAAGGGAGTGAATCATCCTTTGGAATGTAGCCGGTGCGTTTTTCATGCCAAAAGGCATTACTTTATACTGGTAAAGTCCATCTGGTGTAGCAAAAGCAGATATTTCTTTTGCTCTTTCTGTTAACGGTACTTGCCAGTAGCCTTTCAACAGGTCAAATTTACTGACAAATTTCGCGTTTCCAATGTTGTCAATACAGTCATCGATTCTAGGTATTGGATATGAATCAGTTTTGGTAACAGAATTCACCTTTCTAACGTCTGTACATAATCGGTACGAACCGTCCTGTTTTGGTACAAGAATACACGGTGAGCTCCAATCACTTTTACGAGGTTCAACAATGTCATTGTCCAACATGTACTGCACTTCCCTTCTTAGGTACTGCAATTTTATTGGATTCAGACGGTACGGATGTTGTTTGATAGGCAGAATGTCACTCACTATGACATCATGACAAGCTGCATTAGTTTTCTTTGGAACATCCGAAAAGATTTGATGATACTCATTCATCAAGTTTTTTAAAACTTGTTCTTTTTGGTGAATGTTCAAATGTCCAAGTTTGGCATCAAAGTCAGCCAAAATTTCGGAGTTTTTCAAGCGGACACTCTGATTACAATCTTTCTCATTCATTTCTACACTCGTATCACTTTCAATACAATTTTGAACAGTCTTAGCATTGGCTAAAGTGGAAACTGGTTTTACAGAATTTCGGTCACACCTTTCAAAATACTCTTTTAACATGTTAATGTGACAAACCCGTTTCTCTTTACGTTGACCTGGTGTCTTAACTACATAGTTTACATCACTGATCTTGCTTTCAATTTCATAAGGGCCATAAAATCTGGCCTATAAGGGATGACCAGGAATAGGTAAAAATACAAGAACCTTATCACCTGGCTTAAACACCCTATTTTTGGCATCTTTGTCATACCACATTTTCATTTTCATCTGAGAATTCTTCAAATTTTCTTGTGCTAATTTACAAGCATTGTAAAGTTTTTCTTTGAAATCAGACACATAATCCAAAAGATTAAGATCACTAGTCTCAGTCAGCCACTTTTCCTTCAACAATTTCAAAGGACCTCTAACTGTATGACCGAACACTAATTCAAAAGGACTGCACCCAAGAGACTCCTGGACTGCTTCTCGTGCAGCAAATAGCACAAGATGAACCCATTCATCCCAGTCTTTCTCATACTGATAACAATAGGTCTTCAGCATTGTTTTTAAGGTCTGGTGAAAACGTTCTAGCGCCCCCTGGGACTCAGGATGATAAACAGTTGATCTATATTGCCTTATACCCAACTCATGCATGACTTGCTGGAACAACCCCGACATAAAATTTGATCCTTGATCCGACTGAATTGCCTTAGGTGCTCCTACAAAACTGAAAAACTTGGTTAGAGCCTTAACTATGCTCTTTGCCTTTATATTCCTTAGAGGTATGGCTTCAGGAAATCGAGTGGATGTACACATAATGGTAAGTAAATACTGGTTCCCATATCTAGTCCTAGGCAAAGGTCCTACACAATCCACCAACACTCGACTAAAGGGTTCTTCAAAAGCTGGAATGGGTTGGAGAGGAGCAGATGGTATCTTCTGATTTGGTTTACCTACCATCTGACAGACATGGCATGACTTGCAAAACTTCGAAACATCCTTTCTTAGCTTAGGCCAATAAAAATGACTCAGAATCCTATTATAAGTCTTATTGATACCTAAATGACCAGCCATAGGTGTATCGTGAGCTAAACTCATGACATCTCGACGATAAGCAGCTGGGACCACTATCTGGTGAACAACACGCCACACTTCATCTGGAGAAGCGTCAGGTGGTCGCCATTTACGCATAAGGATGCCATCTTTCATATAGAAGCATTCTCCAACTTTAGTACCCTCTTCTGGTGGAAGTGCCCTCTTACTAAGTTGAATGATATCTGGGTCTTTATGTTGTTCAGAGAGAAAACGTTCTCGGCTGAGGATGTCCTTGCCTTGGCTAACTAGTGGATGCAACTCATCATCCTCACCACCAAATTTTGGAAAAAGTTCTTTCTTCTCTTGCTTCTTGATATTGTGTGGTTCCATGCTTGTTTGAGTGCCATCAAGGTCAGAAAAGAAAGTGTCATTCAAATCAATATCAGTAGAGGATTTCGTCTCGTCAAAGGCTTGAGTATGGTCTGCCTCCATTTCGCGTCTTCTGGCCATCGCTCTAGTAACAGCACAGGCTGGATAAATGTCATCATCTTCATCATCGCACATGACATTGGAAGTGATTTTCTCACATACTATAGGATCTGGTACAACTTTTCCACCAGCTAAATCGTTGCCTAGCAACAAAGAAATGCCTGGAACGGGAAGAGTAGGTCGAACACCTACGATAACAGGTCCAGTAACTAAATCTGACTTCAAACTAATTCTATGCAGGGGAACATCAATGACGCCTAGCTCCACACCCTGTAATAAAACTGACCCACCAGTAGAAGTCTGCTCAGACAAAGGAAGCACACCCTCTAACAATAACGTCTGTGCAGCACCAGTATCTCTCAAAATCTGGACAGGTTTTATTTCGCTAGAGTCACCGAGTGAAACAAATCCCTGAGACAAAAAGGGCTTATAATCCTCCATAGAATCAATAGAACTGGACTGTGAACCCTGGACATCAGGAGTGTCAGAACAAATGGAAAGTAAGGCTTCTCTATCACTTCTAACTGCCGCACAAGCGTGTGGTTGAGTTTTATCAAAATCATTTTTTCTCTAAAGTTTAAAGCATTCACTGATCAGATGACCTTTCTTCTTACAATAACTACAAGTAGGAAGCGACCCAATTCCAGATGATCCTTCAAAACGTCCTGGACCGGACTTAAAACCACCTTGTGATGGAGACTGGAGACTTGTGGAAGACTGAAACCCTGAACCACTCTTTTTATATGTGTCTGAATTGGTAGAATTACTGCTAGTCTGAGATCTTGATACAAAATTCTTTTTATGAGACAGAGCATAAGTATCAGATATGACTGCTGCCTCTTCAAGAGTTTTCACATTCTTATCTTCTAAATGTGTTTTCAAATCTTGAGGAACACATTCTTTAAACTCTTCTACCAGGATGACTTGGCGCAAATTAGCAAAAGTTTTATCAAGTTTCTTAGATCTAAACCAATGATCGAATAAATCTTCTTTCTCTCGTGAAAATTCAACAAATGTTTGATTATCAAACTTTCTATACTTTCTGAACTTTTGTCTATTACGCTTCAGGTACTAATTCATATGCTTTTAATATTGCTGCTTTGACCTTCTCATAGTCTGAACTTTCAGCTATCCCTAATGCAGAGTATACCTCAGCCGCTTTTCCAACCAGTACACTTTGTAACATTGTTGACCAAACATTTTGTGGCCATTTAAGATTCTCTGCGACTTTTTCGAATTGGGGAAAATATTTGTCTACAGATTTTTCTTGAAATTTTGGAACTAACCTAATATTTTTTGCTGCATCAAATTCAGTCTTGACAAATGACGGTTCTGGTTGGTGCTGTAATCTTAATTTCTCTAATTCAAACTGCTCTTGTCTTTCTAATTTGTCTAATTCAAATTATCGTTCACGCTGTCGTTCTTCTCTTTCTCTTTCTCGCTCTTCTCTTTCTAATTTTTCTCTTTCAAGTCGCATTTTCTCTAACTCTAATTGAAACTGATATTCTGCCATTTTATAAGAGCCTAACTCTGATTTAACTGTATATTCTGGAAGATCGTATTTTTCAAAGATGTTTTCTTCTACTAGTTTGTTTGCAACCTTAATTCTAATGTCTTGCTTTCTCTGAGAGGATTTAACATCTAACCCAAAATGCAAACCTAATGCGATCAAGTCATCCTTTTTTAACGTATCAAAAACCTGAACACTTGGTGAACTAAGAAAGTCTGTGACCGAAAATACCACGTTGATTTCTGCTGGCTTATAATGTAATTAAACTATTTACTTCACAAAATTTTGACAATAAACTACAAAAATGCAAGAAATTCTTGATCCCGGACGAGCCCCCAATTCTGTTATGGGTCAGAATAACCCTAAATGCCAGCAAAGATCAATAACACAATTTAAACTTAACAATAATTTATTTACAATAATATATAATAAGTATATGAAACATAAAGTACAAACTTAGCAAGAATCTAAAAATACATACATCAGAGTGTCCGTTGCTGCACACAAGGTCCCAGTGAAAATATATCCCAGTTATATCTCAACGGTGCTCATACGACAAAAGTATATCTATGCATCGAATTGACAGGGTATTTATACAGTAATATAAATCTAGAATATTCTAGAAATTGTTAAAACATGATATTACTGGAACAATCTGGACATACACAAAATTTAAGAATGTTCTAGATAAAATGACCAAGCATGTTGACCACTCTGGAATGTTCAAGAAACTTAATGTTACTAATTATATACATAATGAAACAATACACATCTCACAACACAACTAAGTGGGAATAATGGGCACAGTTAGACAATGTGGGATTAATGGCATTCCTAGGGATTGACAACTAAGTGGGAATAATGGGCACAGTTAGACAATGTGGGATTAATGGCATTCCTAAGGATTGACAACTAAGTGGGAATAATGGGCACAGTTAGACAATGTGGGATTAATGGCATTCCTAGGAATTGACAACTAAGTGGGAATAATGGGCACAGTTAGGAATGATCAGTATTTGGGAATAATGGGCACATTTAACAATCTGGGATTGAAGGCATTCCTAGGCATTGACAACTAAGTGGGAATAATGGGCACATTTAACAATCTGGTATGTGGGATTGATGATATTCTTGAGATTGGTCAACAAGTGGGAACACTCAATACAAAGAGACAGGAAGAATTTTAAGATCGACTGTTCTTGGAATTGGTAAATACATGTAACAGTGAACTTTGGTACACTTAGACAAGTAGAGAGATTTATCAGCATCCACATTTTGAATATTGTGAGAAAAACAGGATTGCGGAGTTGATGGCAAGGGATTGATCAGTTAGAATGAACTCTTGGTAAAGTTAGACAAGCAAAAAGATGTGGTATTGGCATTCTTAGGGATTGATCACCAAGTGTTAATAATGGGTACATTTAGTGAATATAGAATGTTGGATTGATGGCAGTTTTAGAGACTGAGCAGTAAGTATAATGTCAAGTACAGTAAGATTAGCAAGGGGGTTGTTGGATTGATGGTATTACTGACAATTCATGAGTACACATGAATATTGAAAACCATTGTTGCTCCTTAGATACAAATTGAGAGTGCATCTCAGATTATTTTAGAGTTATCTTAAATTTAAAACTCATGATGTGGAACATTAATAAAGAGTTTTGAATTTATGAATTTACATGTACATGTATATCAAATATTTTGTAGGAAATTCTGGCTCCTTGATGCATTGCTGCAGGATAAATCAAAAGTAGGTTTTACATTATATTTGAAAAAAAAATTAAAATACACAAACACAATATGCTTTGACATATGATTTTCATTATTTTCAAAAAAAAAAAAAAAAAAAAATATTTATCTTCAAGCAAGTTATCCTTGTAAACTTACACTTTAATAATGTTTTGTCAGTCTCTGTATAAAATCTCTGTTTTGCTTGCATTTCCATGTAAGTATTTCTATCATATGTTTACTCTATTTGCCCTTCTTACAACTTGTAGAGTCTGTCTGTCTTGAGGAATCACTGTTATCTCTCCTGTATAGAAACTCTTCAACACATCAGGTTAGTCAAAAAAAGAAATAACCTCAAACCCAGAAAATAGGACTGTTACGAGGGGCATTTCAAAAGTCCTGAGAACTGTTTATTAAAAAATTAACCGTTTAACGGAAATTATTGAGTTTGGTGTCTTTGGAAAGATCAGAAAAATATACAAATATTATGACGTATTTTATAATTTTTATGATGTTATATCTCCGAAAAGGACTTCAGAATATAGAATGTTTAGCATACTGAAAATTCACGTTTTTATCTACATGACACGATTTTGAAAGTGCTGCCAAAGGCTTATTTCAAAAAAAATTTCAAAGAAGTAGACTAGGACTATGGTACTCTTTAACAACAATTCTATATTTCATTGTTTGGTTTACTTGCACGGTTTATGTCCGGTTATGCTATCATCTACATTTATTTAAGATTTTAAGTTACATATGATATGACTTGATTTTCCGTTTTTTATACAGTTCTCCATTGTATGAAATAAAACATTTTCTGTATAAAATTGAAGTATATTAATGCAGTTTTCAACAAATATATTTTGAGTAACAGTACTTTTACCGTTTACAAATAAGATGTACGAAAGTCTTGCCCCTGACTTGTTTCTGTATCGTATTTTATCTTATTAATTCAACTTCGGCGCCCCAAAACTCACTACTGCTTTTGACTTCTGACTCCAAAAAAGGTTTATAAGTTACACAGACA